CCGTATTGGACCACGAAAATCACCGAGTTGCTTGGCGTCTTGCGAACGGACTCCCGAGGTGGATGCTGGATGCTGAGCGGTGGCAGATGATTACGGCCGAGGAAGACGGAGGAAGTGAGGGAGGTGAGATGAAATGCAAGTACGAATCCTACGAAGTGTTCAAAGGGATACTGGGGTATGTTGTCCAGTGGTTTGTCGGCAAGGAGCTCAAGATGGGGGTTGATGCGATGGCTGAAGAGCTCAAAAGGAGAAGTGAGCGGAATCAGGTCTGACGCTTTCGTGCTATACGCTACAATCATATCCATGTATTTTCTATTAAGATTCAATTCTCGTATCTATATATATTCATCCATCGCGCATATGATCACGAAAGCTTGGGGCGTTTCGATTGCGAATGCACCCCAACTCCTTGGAAAGAAAAAACACATCGCGTCCGTATGGAAACTGTATTTCCTAGTAAATCTCGCTACGGTGATTTCAATTCGAATAACACGGAAAACAATTCTGCAAACGTGAGCGTTGGTGCGCAAACTCTCAATCCGTTCTTGCAGAGTTGAGCAGACCGCGCAATGCTCACGATAAAGGCAGCCGGCTAAAGCCTGACCGTGACATTGATATCGACGCCTTACCAGAGTCCTCCCTGTGTTATTAAACGCCTTCTCCCTCACCTTTTTTACTTCCTAGGGTGCTCATAGGTAAATGAAGAGGACTGCAGCAGAAGGACGAGGGCACTGAGGTTTGGTTTCGTCTCGTGGAAGGACGTCCTCATCGTGAGCGCGTGAGCAGTAATCACCGATCATCATAATTCGACTCGAATGGATGCCTAAGCGCTAAGATCAGCTCGAGTAGAGTCTTACTGAGTCCAAGACACTTGCTGAGACTTGGTTTTGCTTGCTCACAACAACGGATACAATCAAAGATGACACTCCCAGTACGAGAAGAACACATATAGCTTACAAGTGGCGATGAGGGCAAAGAGCGCGGACAATTAATGTACCGCCAAAATGCATGGTCCGAGACTAGAATAACTCCTAGTCGTTTAGGTCTGCTGCATTGTCGCCGTTGACTCTGAGGGAATGGGTACTCTCTCTTGCAGGTTTCTTGACCACTTGCCAATCTTGGCCCACCATTTACCTAGGCAATGCTTGGTGGGTCAAAGTTGACAAGTGACCAAGAGCCTGTAAGAGAACGTACTCATGAGTCAACAGGAGCTCTGCTGAGATAATGATTCCATGAACCTAGGCAATTCGTGGTTTCACCGTCGAAGCACTGTCTCCACCCGGGGGAGCTGATCAGACCAGTACAAGCTCTCGCTCCAGTAGATCTGGAGTTACCGGTTCATGCTAGTCTGCGGTTCACACTTGCGCACGGTGAACGCAGGCTCTGGCTCAATGGGGGCGATGTTGAGCTGGTATGCATACTCACTTGTGGTATTTTTTTTTCTTTTTTGTAGGTTTGTGCAAAGGAATAGCATTTGTCTCGCTGTGTGATGAGAGTAGTCGTTGTCTCTCCAAAAAGAGCCTTCAGGCATTTGAAGAGCCTTAAATGGGTATCACGTCGCTTCTTTCTCAAAAAAGACTGGCGGGAAGACGCTTATATAATGAGATTTAGGCGCTCCCAATTTCTGCCGTCATAAGTATATAAGGTGAACTCATCTTATTTCCCAACTTCTGCCCAACTCTCTACTCAGATTCGACGAACTCGACGACAGCGGGCGACCACTCATTTTTTAATATACCGATCATGTCTACCTCTCTCACGCAACCACTTAATGCAGCCATACAAGACCACTACATCGTAAAAGTAACAAATTTACCCCCACCGCAGTCACTCGCGCCATATGAAGCTGAGATCCAGAATACGCAAATCTCGCCTTTCCTTACATTCTCTGGAAAGGATCGGATTGCCAACGTCTTTCAGAAGGTCTTAAGCGAGAGCTCTGAGCATATGTTAGACCCTTCCGACATCGCCGTACGTTCATCCTGTGTTACTTTTATGAATCCTTAACCCTGGTATATGCGCTCTATTTATTCCAGATAGCCCTCAAGGCGTTCGGCTCAAAGGCATTTCTCGACAAACTTTCGCCCACCGGTGCTGCAGACCAGTTGATAGCATGGTTGGGCGGCGTCCAATGCCCTCTACCAGAAGACAGGTTAGAGAATCTGGTCCGACTTGTCGTGAATGGCACGGCAGGGGTTTTCAAACGGTGAGTGTGTGAACACCGTTGTATTTCGAGATCATTCATACTGTTCCTGTAGGGATCGGAAGAAACGGCAACTTGAAGGAAGTTTGGGTTAGTCATTCTCGCTATTAGCGTAACTTTAACGCGACTCAATCTCAATAGGGTCTGGCCTTACAATGCCAGTTCCCGGTGGCAAAGATATCATACGCACGAACGAGAAAGATTCAAAAGTCAGCGGCTTGAGCAAAGTATGAACTTGGCTTCTCCTAATCATGATAGACTCACCAATTCACAGGGTGAAAAGCGACCTTTGGGAGATTCGGTAAAAGGCTTCTCGAAGAAGAGAGCTACTGGAATCAAAGGTATCTTTGGTTCCACCGGAATCCAGCCAACAAGTCACTCTAGACGTTCTCAAATTCGAGGTCCTCCTCAAAATTCGCATCGCCATGCCGTCTACTTTGATAATGATGTTTCTGCAACTCATTCCAGCTCACGTCAACTTCCTACTGATAGTAATGTTCCCGCCATCAATCAAGCCTCTTCACCAGACGCTTCTGAATCTCCGTCTTCCGTTGACGCTCAAATGCTCGCCTCGACGAGAACTGGTGTATCGCTTGCTCCTCAGTCGGCCCCTGGAAGGCCGTCTTCAATTCGTTCTTCCGCTCTCGATACAAATGATATTGAAGATCTATCCAGTATCAGACCAAATATACAATCCCCTGCTATCACCAGCGACTCTGCCCATTCATCTCATCTCGATTCTGTAGAAAATGGAGTAAAGCTGCAAGTTTCCATGCCGACTGCTAGCTCTGTGTCAACTCTTCCCAAACGTGCTGTAGAACCGGAGAATCTCGATATTGCTGGCGCCAAAACTGCCGCCGCTGGAAGCCAGGATTTCTTTCCAGAGTCTACGTCGACTGCTTTCAACGAGACGCAACATGTGGCAATAACTACCGGCTCTCCAGAAATTTCTCTTCTTCCCACCGGACCTGAAGAATCAAGGCAGAACTCGTCTACCTCGTATTCTACAATGGACTCTGTCGCATTTCCTGCTCCATCAACCTCGAATGGAAATTTGCCACGCGATTCCTTCAACTCCGGTGATTCCTCTTCGTCGACTAACGTTCAACCGCTCGTATTCAACATAACTTATAATCATACACACCACCATCACCATGTTCATAACCACTATCACGCATCCTAGGAAACTCGGTGATTCTCCAGAGCTCATGTTGACCTATCATTACTTCGTATCCAACCTGTAACTTCAAAGCTTCGACCATCACCATGTTCATAACCACTATCACACATCCTAGGAAATTTGGTGATTCCCCAGAGTTCATGTCGACCTAACATTACTTCGTATCCAAGCTATAACTCATTTCTTCGTATATAACCTGTAACTTCAAAGCTTCGACCATCACCATGTTCATAACCACTATCACGCATCCTAGGAAATTCGGTGATTCCCCAGAGTTCATGTCGACCTATCTTTACTTCGTTACCAACTTGTTACAGCTTCAACCGTCAGACCATGTATAAGATATTTTTGATAACATGAAGATGGAGAGTTATGGTTATTCTTGTTACATACCTGGAAAGAAGCTGAGCAACTTTACAACTTTTGTCACCAGTGAACATGTAGATGTGGTACCGGCCATAGATGATGAATCTCATTCTGAGTCCAACATGGAGAATACGATATCGGTCAATATCACCTGGTATTATGATGGTGAAAGCTTGCAGGCAGGGATCAGAAAATGCATATCAATTCTATCGAAATCAGCTCTCTAGATAATATTCACGGAGTTGGAGTATTTGGAGTAGGTCATCGATAGTGCCTTCTTTTATTCTACCACTTACCTACCGCTATCTGCGAACAATCAAATAAAACTAAAACCCCAGAGTCTTTGATTTCGGGGATGATTCGAACACACATTGCTATAACCCTCCCTCACTGCCATCCAGCAAATAGTGGTCATTCCCAATTTCACTATTGAGACAGAGGCCAAAGTCTCTCACCGCATTAGCTCTGTGGATTTTGAATCTTTCTCCCTCGGTGGCACGTCTTCCGTACCTCATGTTGTCCACATCGAGGTGTATAACTTATCTGTCTTTCTGACCAAAATCTAAGATAGTCCCCGTCTACATCCCGTGCAGTCATAATATCCGAGTATAGTCCAATCCAAGGTCACTACGATGGGCGGGAAACTCTCGATCTCATCACTTCCGATGCAGCAACAACAGCATCAGTGAGAATATTTGACAACCTTCAAGTTTTACCCCTGTCTTCATGCAGTTGAACGTGCTAACTTCCAACGCGTCAGCGATACATGTAGCTATCCACTACTCTTACTCATCTTGAATTGTATCCTACTGCGGATCTCTGAGAGGACTTGAATGATCCCAGAGTATGGGAGGGTTGCTGTTGATGTAAGGGCAACCAAAAGCCCAGTCAATATCTGGTATTTCACTGCACCCTTACGCACCCCTCATGCTCTTAATGTTCAAACAACATAATCCGATGTCAAAGGAGAATCAAGCAGTTGAAATCATCACAACAGGTCACTGATTCAGTGTCTTTTCGTATCTCAATCTTCCTTCACACTTCATTAATTTATATCTTCTCTGTGCATGGACTCGGAGACACCTCAGCTCATTGGTGATAACATCAGGAAGCCAAAGAATGTCTTGCAAACGGCATTCCCATAGTGTCCAAGGCGAAAAAGAGCGAATGCAAGGCTAAGATGCTGATCAAAACGAGCTTGGTACACAGACTTGTATAATAAAACAAGATCAAAAGGTACACCACTCGTAATACACCGTTCGGGAATCGAACCCGAGCCGCTTGCTTATCATGACGATTATGGAAGGCAAGCATGATAACCACTTCACCAACGGTGTAGACTTCATAGAGGGCCTTGTTAAATCCATAACAAGAAGTTGGTGAGCTAAACGCTAGCTTCAAACTCAGCTCTTGGTCCATCAATACTTCTCTCTGACATCCCGAGGCCTGCCGCCTTGTTAGAGTGCTGAAAATACTCTGCTACACACTCGCTGGCATCTACTCCACTATCTGAAAATTGATCTCGGAAATTTGCACTTTTCAAGGCCATTTTATGCATTGTTTTGATTTGATTTGGACTACTTAAGAAGGTGATTGAGCTTGATCAGGCTTTTTTGACGCTCAATGGAAATTTTGCATGGCCCAACCTCAGCGCCTCACCTCACCTACTACTCGATCTGCTAGTTCATGTCTCTCTTTTCAATCTTGATTCGCTTTCTTCGCCACTTACATCGATGAGTACAAAGATTCTCAGCAACATCCATCCACTACAACCAGCTTTGAAGCATTAAGTTCGTACCTGGACTTGGTTGAAGACAAAGGACATCGGAACTAGAGAGCTTTTGTGAAGGATATCATGTCTATCGGCAAAGAATGTGAATCAAACAACCAATAGCACTCCATTGCTCCATTCTTTTGCGGGAAAATCGAATCGTACCACTTTGTACAATCATTCCATCGCAATAAGTAATCATCCTCATTATTCCGCGAGCAAGTCCATACAAACGCAAAATCTGCCTACCGGATGATCAAAGACGGCGTTGCTCGAAACGCAGGCTGCTTTTACACAACTCCATAAACTGCTGTGACTTTATCCTGTAGCAGCTGTTAAGCAAACATCTAACATCATTACCAGGTTTACTCATTGAACACATTCCCGGTCGATGCATATTTGACAGAGGTAACGGCGAATTAGACCTGCTTTTCGTAATCGCTAGGCACGTCCGTATTTATCGCGCTGGGGAGAAAGATATGTCTGATGCACTGATTGACTTCCGAAATCTAGATATTCTTGGAGTGCCCGTGAGGTCAAGATGATGATTAAAGTTTTCGGACATACATATAGGAAGATGCAGATGGTTTATTCGTGTGCTTCTTCGTGGAAGTATCAAAACATTGACAACCAAATTGGTTTGCAGGTGACGCCAAGCTATGTATATCCATGGCTGAATTGAGTAGATTCTCTCTCCCCAAAAAGCTCCATTCAGCATGCTGCATTGGCCGCATCGAAAAGTAAAAAAACGTACACGGGCTTGTTGTTTCGGTGTATGAGATCTCCTTAGAAAGCGCATCTAGGCAGCTTATTGGTTCAAAAATAAAGGAATAAAATGTTTGCGTTCCATATTTCTGGGTGTCATAGACCCTGTCAGAAGCACTAACGGGGTCAGATGCAGGACTAAGATTTACTGTGAATTCTATTCACTAATAGCTCGAATACCCGTCGACGAATCTTACCCGTCACAACTATGATCCATACAACCTCATCCCCGTAATACCCACCAATTCACTATTGGGGAACCCTACATTATTTAGCACATTGGGATGCTTGAATAATAAGTTAGCCATTGAAGCCTGAACGACGTATGAGTCAGTGGACAGCTTGAGTCAGAGAAAAAAGACCGAATCTGATATGCAAGAATCACCGTGACGGAGAGGACGAAGAAACCAGTCTTTTCTTTTGCAGTGGACGAGGAAAAGGTTCTCAGAGCTGTGACGTTTAGTCTCGTTCGTCATCCGAGTCATCACAGAAAAACCTAGACTCATTGCCAGCGAAGAAAGAGACCCGGAAGGAATGCCTCCCGGGTGGATGATTCGCACCTAAATCGTTGACTGTTGGTACTAATGTTAGAAAAGGTGAGGGAAACCTAGGTCAAGAATGAAAATGAGACTCGGTGAATGGGTATTTGAACTTACAAATGGAAGGCAAATTCGACCCATTGAATACTTTACGAACAGATGCCTGCGACACTGGCAAAAGCTGTAGAGGAAGAACAAATCAATATGTATCTATCTCACACTTAAACTTGAACTTAAACTACCGAGTACTATCGGTCGAAGACGTCAGAAAAGATGAATGACAGCAGAAATGGGTTAGGCTCAAAAGGCCAAAGATCAGCCAATGCAACGTCCCAGTGAAGTCAGAATCAAAATCAAAGAATTAATATGACAGCATACCTGAGTCACTGAGTGTCACTAACAGTCAATAAAAAACTTGACCAATTTTTTGAGACCTCAGTTAGTGTTGCAGAAGCACAGAAATGGTTTGTAGAGTATATGCACATCGAGAAGATATTTCAATGAGCCCATTTTCCAAAACTGTAGTCTGTGTTATAGAATTTTGACCCTCGAAATTTGGCTGTCCTTCAAAAAATAACATGGAAAAATCTAAGAAACTCAACAAATAGATCATATAATTCTGTCACCCTGATATTTTTTCGTACGTCCACCGAGAAAGAGCCTTCAAAATAGATCTGTTATGATCATGAGGGACCTAAATTGCGCATCCTAAACTCGTTATGCCGAATCCATGCTTATTTTTAGCGCACTTCAGTGTGTAGGTCGAACTCCGATTTCATTGGGGGTGTGCACTTACAAAGAGGCGTGAAAACGTAGAGCCTGCCAGAGCTCGAGGACAGCAGTATCAAACAGATTCTGATAACAGAACCAGATTCATGACAGAAAGCACTCAGACTAGCTTCGATCAAGGAAGGGAGGAAAATCAGATGGTCAGTGTAGTACGATGCTATTTCCTGAACCTCTGAATGATTCATGTCAGGTAAATTGAATCTCAAGCACTGATTTGTAAAAGGAATTTTGGAACGTGATTTGTTCAATCCAAAAAATTATATTTGTGATCCACCATCTCTGGAATATGCGCATTGCGAAGCACATTCATGCACTCAAGAACATCCATGCTTGCTGCCAATTTGAGCGTCCATATGATGAACAGTGTTCGATAGAGATAGATTTCTGGAGTGTATGTAGTATCATTTGTTACTTCAAGAACAATGGAACCGTCTGTTATTCGTCAAATATCGCAGTAATTTGGTCTCCATCCTGTCACTCATTTTTGGGTCAAAGCGCGCGCTGAAATCAAACGGAAGTACTAGTCACACCCTTCCCAGTATTGTGACAATAGCTTTAAAGGCACTGTGTCCGCTGCATTCAAGTCAGAACCAAGTCCAAGCAATGTATGCACCCAAGCCCAGTGAGTGTGCTCAGTTCGGTCAACTCTGGGTCTCATGGAAACATCGTTTCTGCTCCTTGTCCTTGTTCTGTTCTAGTTCTCGCTGCCATCACTCTCGCCACAAGCTTTGTTAGTGCCGTCTTGCTGCCCGAGACAGGTAAAATATTCTTTATCGGACTGACTTCGCGCCACTTATTTACCTCATGGTTTGACTTAGGTAGTAACATTGTTCAACGTCAGGTGCAAGTTCCTCTCACATTTGGGAACGCTCAATGGATTTGGACTGGCGAAGAAGCTGGTGCTGGTGGAATTGCGCCTATTGGATCTCGCGGATTCCGCAAGCATATTAGCAATCCCAGTAGCTTTGTCCTCCCTGTTTGCCTAACACTTGCAGTGGCCGCGTCAGTATTATTTCCCTCATTCATTCCGAGGTTTTACCATTCTAACTATTCATATAATAGGGATAACGAGTATGTTCTCTATGTTAATGGCTTTAACATCGGGAACGACTTCGCAGGTTTTATTTCCGGAGCTTCCTTCCTGGATGCCGATATTTACAATATTCCTCTTAATCCTGAGGGAGAAAATGTCATTGCTCTTAATGTTACCAATGGTCCTGGTCCAACAGATGTTCCGAATCCCGCTGGAGTCATTGTTACAGGAATCATTGAATTTAGTGATCAGTCACAGGAAGTCTTGGTTTCAGACTCGACTTGGCTCACTCTGGCATCAGATACACCAGCCGGCTTTATGCAGCCTAATTTCGGTGATTCGGCTTGGATTGCGGCGACTGAGGAGGGTTTGGATGGTGTTGCTCCTTGGGGAGTGACGACGATTGTGCCGACTAATGTTATAGGATGTCTTAACTTCTGACGGCTGTACGTTAAGATTTATTCGGTACGGTACTTATCAGGTACTTGTAACAAGCACGCTTATGTCCCCTTTGCCCCAGTTCTTTTCACTGTAACATCACTCTTTCTTCCATCTTAGCCATTTCCGAAGTGTAATTGTTGTCATTTTGTAAAACGAAGTTTGTCTTACTTGTTTCGAGGTTGAGTGAGGATTCCCTTGAAATTCATCATATTCCTTTGCAATCTTGTCATGGCCTACGAGCTCATTCTCTCGTGGACTCATGCAGATGAATATATGCGCAGGGTCTGAATTGAGCACCTCATGCGTTACTTATAATGGTTTGATGTACCAATCAAACCAATATATATAAGTAAGGCATCTCCGCTTACCCCTGGCGGACCTTCGCCATGATGCTCAACACTGTCCTCATCAGTCTTGTTTGAATATGGGCTGAACATGGTCGTCGCCCGGTGTCCAAGCGTGCTTACGATCAGATTCGCGTAATTTGCTTTTAGGAGAAGGGAAAAAGATATCAGAGATGTGTTCAAACAGGAACATCGACCACACCGCTTCATCAGAGAATAGTCGTCGAGTGACAATCAATTCTTCTCCAAAACGTGACTAAAGGTGGTCCGGAGAAATGAACTCATTCTGGAAACTCGATTTCGTTAGCCAGCGGTGAGTTGATCTGCAGCCAGGATCGATAAAAGTACGTGAGGGCATGATAAGCAATAAATGGAGAAAAGGGGGGCCTTCAGTCACCAGCCTTAACCTTGGGTTTGAATCAAGTTTGTAACATTTCCTCTCTCTCCAACTCACAAATCCCTTCATCACATCCATCCGTTTCTGATGAACCCCGCTTGCATCAATTAACACCAGACTCACTGTGCATCGTCACCACTGGCCAGATGCCACAGAACCTTCTACTAGTTGCACATCCTTTGAATCCAATGTTCGAGTTTGTCATCCGAGGTGAGTATATGTACCCAGTTACTGGAATAGTACGCGGATGAGGTGCAA